CGAGTAATAAAATAAGTTTAGAGACATCTGTCCTAGGATAGTCGAGACTTACTGAATTTGTATGTGTATATGGGATGTATTCACACTATGTCATTAAGGTGATGGAGGACTGGATACAGTACGAGGTTCGAGGTAGTCTCGAACGGTCTTGTCTTTTTTGCCCAAATAGATTCATGACTTCGACTACGTATTGCAGGATTGCTTATGCTGCTGAGCTGTTTATGTTTCTGAACCTAAAAATATAGAATGCATAAATTTAATAAGAACCAATTTCGATGATATTATTCAAAGTGTGAGCGGGTTTAAACGAATCTACTGGCCGTTAATTTGTGTGAAAGTGACCGAATAAGAGATTTTATCAGGTCAATCTCAACGGAAGACGATAGTTACTTCTCGTTGCTCGGCCGTCGTTTGACGTCATCACGAGTATCAGATGTTGCGTTCCACACGCGACATCTCCCCTCGGTTCTCGTGAAGAAGGACTGAGTTGACCGACGTCATCAGGGTTGTATCTCATTCCTGAAAATAACTTAGACTTGAACCAAGTCAAGAAGACTAATCAGCTCTAGCCCTCATACCTAAAAATATATTTACTTACTTATGTCTATATAATGATTTGGTAAGTATCATTTCATATTAATGTCACTGCCTGTATTTCTTAAAGTGTGGGTGTGTGGATACGTGTGACGGTGATACCACACCATCTTTATCGTCTTAGCTACGATATGATGTACTGATTAAAGCCCATCAAAGGAGACGTCATGGAATTGGTAATTTAATCAGGAAATATCATTGAGGAAAGATTAGGAAAATAATATATCAATAATCCAAACAAAGATTAAGAGAAATAGATTATAGGGATGTGAATACATGATGTATGCTCTTAACTAGTAAGTTCAGGCTCAAGTGATTCACATTCGGGAGGATTTCTGGAAATTTCAGCACATTACAGACGAGAAAGTTGCACTAAAGGAGGCTACTTAAAGATGTGATTCAGGATCAAACCAGCCTGCTTAAGGAGAGAGATTTCAAGATTTGAGGAGAAATAACGATACTATCTAAACTTATGCGAATGTACCCAGTCGACGATCATTTGCCGAAAAGAGATGTGAGAATAATGGTGAAAGTCGCGGTTTGGGGTAGGTCCTTCAAAAGCTTCCTGCAGGCACGAAAAAGGTGCGAAACCATGATTAAATCAAGATAAGCTGAGCATAAAAACGTTTGTGTATGTGAATGACAAGATGGCGTGGCGTTTGATTTGGTCTGAATCTCCTTAAACTGATTTTTAACCTCGTTTTCACAACTTGGTCTTTGTGACAGGAAGACCTTATGAAACGTATCTAGTCTTGATTCCTCTGTCATAGTATCCATGCCAATCTCCAATGATATGGTACATTTCAGAACGCTTCGCCGACATCCCAGTCAGCGAAAGGTACTGGGCAATTATTGTGAATTATACGGCAAAGGACTAGGCATGAACCACAAAGTCTCCCTGTCGCTCCGGGCAAATCTCGAAAATGAGGTACAGCTGAAAGAGATTACGGCCAAATCCTAGACTACACCATCTTGGTCTTCCTATCTACTGGCAGAGTGTGATAGTACCAAGATATTTCACATGATTGAAAGCTTACCGAGAAGCAAAGTTGGATTGCACTTTGCTGGGTAACATATTGGATAGTCGACATGACAACACGTCCAAGTTGTGAAAACGCAGACAAGAATCTTCATATGAAAGGTGTTAAGTGATGAAAGACTGGTAGTTGAATTTTTTCACAGTCATATGAGTAGACTTTACGTTCCCAAAAGGTATTCTCACCCCGGCTAGAATGGACTGCAGTTTCGACCTCGCTCGAACTGGTCTTGGCAGCATTCCTAGCGGGACTCGAAACATGACACTACAGCTTGTGATCTCGGCACGTTAAAGACTACCCCACCCAGTGCCACAAGTGCCGTTAGCTGGCATCACACTTGGGAATTTTAAGGAAAGCCAGGCATCTTTCCCTATCACATTATGTGGTGGTGTAGTCGATTGAGCAAAGTTATATTTGTGATTGCAATAGACTACATTAGTTATTTTTCGTTTGTAAGTAGTGCCTCGTGGTTGAAACGGTAGTCTACCCTGGAAAATAATACATTTTATAAATTAAGCCTATGTGAAATTCGATGGATATTTAAGGTCTACTCATCATTGTGGGAAAATTAAACAACCAGTCTTTCATCACATTAAACGAAATGGAATGAACTCGTCTCATATAATCTGACTTAATTGTAGTCTTGAAACCTATGCAAAGAAAAATTGGGTCTCGAGGAATCTCTTGTTTCCTAATTGTTGAGCTTACTTCCATTTCGAATGAAAGTGTTCGGTGAAGATATTCGTAGGTCGGTTCCACCAGAACACGACGGCGGATTCCTCTTGACCAGCTGTCGATTGGCTTTGCTGGAAGATTCATGCTGACGCTGTTTCAGAAGGCAATCTCCTTCGATTCCGGTCGAGAAAAGGTTTCTTGACTCGTTAGTTTCAATTTTGTTGTGACGATGATACCTTGTTCTGATGATGCTTAGCACCTTTTCACCGGAATCGAAGGAGATTGCCTCGGAAACAGCGTCACCATGAATCTTACAGCAAAGCCAATCGACAGCTGGTCACCATGGAATCCGCCGTCTTCTTCTTGTGGAACCGATTTTCGAGTCTCTTCACGCAATACTTTCACTCGAAATGGAAGTAAGCTCAACAGTCTTGAAACCTTACTTACAGAGGAAAAATGAGAATATGAGATTTATTCATCATATTTCGTTTCGGGTGTTAAGGAGACTGGTAGTTGAATTTTCCCACAATTATATGAGTAGACCTTACAGTTCCGTCGAATCTCACGCGACATTGTTTTCCAAAAGCTTTACCCATCCAGGTTGGACGACATTTTTCACCTCGCATGGGTCTAATCAACAACCCAGGATGGACTCGAACCATGACACCGCAGCCCATGATCCCGACAGGTTAACCGCTACGCTACGATGCTACGAGTGCTCTTGGCAGTCGCTTTATCACCCTAAACGAAATAGGGTGAAGAAATCTCATACATATGGTCTACTGATAGTTTTGAAAGTCTACATATAAATGAAAAATAAGAATATCTCTCTTGCACGTTTGAGAAACAGGACTCGAACCCTGCCGCAACTGTTCGTCTGATCGTGGCTGTGCCTTTTGTCACTTGAGAACCTACCAGAACTGATACGTTCGAGGTCCAGAAACATGACTTGGCTGATGCACAAGTGACAGCTCGCTCGAATGATCCACGAATAAGTTTTTGGATCACATTAGATCGCTTGAGGCATCATGAGTCCTACTCATCTCATTATGAGAATATTCAACCATCAGTCCTCAAATTGCCTCAAACGAGGCATGGCAACTGAAGTTCTTCTTTAAGGTATAGTCATAATTTGGGAATCCCACTTGATTCATACTCAAGTAACCGTGTCGACTGTAATCGCAAATACACATCATGCCTTGCCGATGTCGGCCACGTGGTGAACGAAATCTCAGCACGGATCCAAAGCCGCAGCTATAAAGTGATCCTCCTTCGGTTTAGGTTGAGGCTAATTTACGAATCCATTCCAATTGCCTCTTCAAAAGAGAGT